TTTCTTATCTACTGGCTTGTGTTTCTCTGCATTTTGAATCTCTTATATATCATGGAATTGGCTCTTGAGACATGGGATCATGGTGTTTCTATAGCTCAAGGTCTCCTTTATTGAAAAGTTTTCAAGCAGCAAGCATCAGAGGCTTCGACATTTATTTTGCCCAGCAATCAAGTTCCCGATTTAATTTTTTTCAGCAGGTTATTTTTAGCACAGGATACAGTTCACCGGTTATCTCAAACATTTTTACAGGCGCAATATCAAAAGGTAAGTTTCATAGGCTTAACGTGGCTCAGAACTGGTAGAAAAGGACGACTATGCAAGTTTCCCTCCAAATAGCGCAATTTTTCAAATTTGTGAAGGGTTTATCGATTAATCCATTTGCACTAGCAAATGGTTAATCGATTAACCAAAGTAATTTTGACCCAGATACGTGCATTTTCAATGCTGCAGCTTTTAGGGTCCATTTTGATCATTTGTGAATTGGTTTTTGTACTAGTAGAAGGATTTAGAATCATTCCAAATTTTGATTTACTTTCAAAACCAATCTAATTTTCCTCCAAATTTCCATTCCTAATCCCATTCCAATTTTCAGACCCTCACTCCAAGCCACAACTTCACTCCTAACCAAAAGCTTATTTAAGCTAATTCATTCCAAACCTCAAAGATTTACACACTCATAAACCTTTATTTTTCTGATTTCTCTACACATTGCTCTCAAATTCTCTCAACTTTTTCTAAATTCCCTCACACTCCAAAACTCCATTAGAGCTCTTTCACTTGAATTATTTGACTCTTCATTAGAATCCTTGAATTTTAGAACTTAACCTCCATCATTCATCTCCATCAACTTTAATTCATCATTTGATTTTCGTTTGGGTCTGGATCTGGTTTTAGAAGCAAGCTTTTAAGTGATTCTTGGTTCAACTATGGCTTAATTTGGCTCATTCTTCACTTCTCTTGCAAGAAAGCTCTTGGATCTTAAAGTTTTCTTGGGTTTCTAGCTTGAATCTATCATTTGCAGTATAACAACACTTACCAAAGAAATTCTCAGCTTTGAAGGTTGGTTAATTCTAGATCCATTTCTGTTTTGAGCTTATTTGGATAATTAAAATGTACATTCTCAATTTTAATTGATTTTGATGATTTGATCTATTTGATTTGTGATCTTAATGCTTGGATAAGTTCGATTGATGTTTAATCACTGATTTTTGATGTTAAATTCATGCATAATTGGTTACATGATCATTTGGATGATTGCATAATTGATTAATTGCTGGAAGGGCTTTTTAAATTGTTGATTTTCTGCTTCTGGTGCAGTGTTAATCAATTAACCAGTTGCAGTACCAAACTGGTTAATCGATTAACCAATGTATTTTCAGCCAATTTCAAGTGGTTAATCGATTAACCATATTTGCACTGCAAATGGTTAATCAATTAATACTGGACCAGAATGCCATTTTTGTTTGTTTTCGAGCATGTTTTGATTTCTTTCCACCTCTAACCTTCATGGATTGATATGATGCATTTGTGTGGGTTGTTTTTAACCTGCTTCATCATGCTTGTTTGTTTGATTGTGATTCTTTGACGCGAGACTTTTGGTTTCCGTTGATAAATGCTTGAAATGCTTATGTTGTTGCTTGATGTGATGATCACGTGCTTTGCTCAGGTGTATCATGTTAATTGTTGATTATTGATTATTGTCTTACTGGACCTGTGATGTATGTTCGTGTTTGCTTCTGATTTCGTTTATTGCATGATTGTTTGAATTCTTTAATTGATGTGAAAAGCATGTTGTTCTTGTTGAATTCTTGATGATGCAACCTTGTTGAACATTCGTGTTTAATTGTTAATGCATGTCCATATTTTCTTGATACTTGTTCATGATTGATGCTTGTTCATGTTAATTGTGTTGAAGCATGCATGCTGCCCTGTTTTTTACAACTGTTTTTATTTAGAAAATGCATGTTGTTGTATGTTATTCTTGCTTGTTGCGTGCCTTTTGCACCTGCTTTTTGTGCTGGATTAGTAGTTGTTAAATGTTGTTGTGCTGCTTTGCTGTTTTTTATAGCTATTTGAGCTAGAAGCGTTGTTGTAGCTGCTGTTTTTGCTTGTTTTCTCTTGTTTTTGGCTTTTTCTCCCATGCTCCCTTAAGACCTCCTAGTCCAACTTAATTTTCGATTAAGTTTGGAGTATGATAGACATTAGGAGTGTAATCCATGCATGATAACAAGTAGGTTAGTCCATTTTAACCTCAACCTTGGGTCCACCGTTTCCATGTCAACATTAGGATAGAATTTCCTTTCGCATCCCGACCTTAGGGCCACTTTGCATGACAACGTTAGGATCGAGTTTCCCTTAGGCCTTCCGTGCGTCTTTCTCACTTCTCATCTCAAAACAATTCTAACAAACTTAATAAAGACGATGAACGTTGTGCGCCACGAGCCTTAAGTATATGAGAAATGATGCGTGAGGGGTCTCCTCTTGTTCGTCTAGAGTGTTTAGTGTACGTCCCATCTGGAGGCGATATGCGACGCATTCATTCTTATATCATAGTCTTTAGTGCAACGTGAATCACAAAGCCAATCAATTCACTTCTCTAAAACTCACAAATAAACTTCAAACCTTTTTATCCTTTGGGATTTGTTCTTCAAACTCCTTTTCAGAAAAGAGTACGTTACTTTTTCGTTCTACCGCAAACAGGCATCGACCCTAACTGTTGGAATGAGAACTTAACGTCGCTCATAAAAAACGCTTAACCAGTCTGTGGTTTCATTCCCCGAACTATGTTTGCTCTGATTTCTCATACCATATGAAGATACGTAGGCATAAGATGACGATGTCTTGGCGAGCAACCTTCTCCCTATCACCCGTAGTTTTCTGAACTACGTTGACTCTGACTTTCCTATTGCACGAGGGAATACGTAGGCATATGTCGGCGATGTTCTATCGAGTCTCCTTTTTTTTCTCTTTTCCCTTTCCTGTTTTCGTTTAGTAGTAGCTTTTAGATAACACACTCTTTGATTAGACAACAAACATGGATCTCGTTGAGTACAACAGACGTGAGGGGTGTTAATACCTTCCTCTTGCGTAAACGACTCCCGAACCTAAGATTTGGTTGCGATAACCTTGTCTTCTCCCTTCTTTTAGGTTTTCTTCGATCGTTTCCTTTCCCTCCTTTGGGATAAATAACGTTCAGTGATGACTCTTTTGTTTGTTTCCGCTGGTTGTATTTCGTAGTTGCGATAATAGGTTGCTACAATGCTAGGGAAACTACCTCTAGAGACCTCTTTACCACAATCTTGGACCTTCTGACCACTCCTTTTCTCTAAGGAAATAGAAGAGACCTTTTTGGTGATATTTACTTTTTTAAATGACGCATGATCAGAGCCACAGGACCCACCATCCTCGAAAAACTCTTGGTCTTCATCATTACTCAGAAAGGCATTCCACAAAGAACTATTTATACTATTTCCAGTCTACATCTCTGAAACACCTTCAGATGGTTGCTTAACCACTCTAAAAGAAGGGCCAAGGGTTTCTTCTACCAAACGGATCCTAAAAACAACCTCATTAATGCGAACTTTAATGACTTCATTGATTAACATCCCATAGGATGTTCTCACCATTAAACTTGCTACATCCATTCTTGAGAAGTTAGAGGTGGAGTCTTCACAACAAATATATTTCCTAATAGTAAAAGATATACGTTTAAAGAATCCGACATTTCACGCATGACTAGGAATACCGTAAACCCGCAACCAAGTAATCCTTTCCATATCCACATCTTCCATTCTCCATTTTCTCACTTCTGAAAACCACTGACTCAACCAACCAACAGTGCCCTCAACAACGCTTCCAATTCACCTTTCTCGTCTTCTTCGAGCAGACAAAGGTTAGCCCCAGAGGGGTAACCTTCAATGCCAAATAACCTTCAGCATGAAACAATCTTTGGATGTTGTACGTAGTCCTGAGATTCAATACCTACCCCACATACGCTCTTTCAAACCTCTTCAGAACTTCCTTTTCCACCTCAAACGCCAACATCTTACCCTACTTGGGTGTTTCGTCTTCTATATGACGGGCAACATCAACATACGATTTGCCCCGATCAGCAAACACCTTATCCTAAAAAACCTTGCTTGCTGACGAACTACCCCTCATCTGGTTTAAACCTTATGCACCAGATTTCTTTCCTATTCCCTTGACATAATCAACAGAGAAAGCTACTTTAATAGCTCGTTGAAATCTCGAGAGATTACCATGAAGTTTCTTTCCCCATAATCATAAATTATCCAGCTTCAGCACCAAACGTATCACATCCTTCACTCCGTAGAAACGAACGAATTCATACTTTCTCCCTCTCTTATCCCTTTTTGTCAGGATAACGACCTCATCAATCACTCCGAACTCTTCAAAATGATTGAAAAGGTCCTTGGCCCTCAAGGACTTAGGGAAGTCAGTGATGAAAATGGTTGTTGCTTCCTGTCCTTTCTTGTCTTCCTTCATCTCCCTGTTGATCTTAATATCCCATCAACCTTTCTTGCCTTTGTTCCTTTTGATTACTCTAAACCATTCACCATCATCGGTAGACTTTGAAGAACCAACCATAAACCACCAAGAAAAACTAGAGAGAAGAGAGACTTTCTCTAAAAAGAAATGTTTGGATTGACCCTTGATTTGGAATATCGCCTAATATTCCGGTGATTTTTTTAGTTGAAATATTTTCTAGTATTCTTCAAGAATATATTATTTAGCTTATGAAAAAAAAAAAGGAATTGTACTAATATGACACCTAACTTCTATATTTTTAATAGGTGTAGTTCGGAATCAAAAACATATTCTACCATATCATTATTAGCTACTTCAAAATTAAATTAATATCAGTTTGGTTTTTTTCCTTATTCGCAGCACAACCGAACCATTGTTCTTTCTATTTAAACCTTCTTCATGGCAGTTTCATATTCATTCATTTCATCCCCACATATACACTTGAGAGTGAGATGATGAAGATGATGAACGCTGAATCCAAATCATATACACCCTTCCATTGGACACGTAAGTCCGTGCCTAAAGATGAACTCGAAGCCGGAAATAAAATAATGAAAATGTTACAAAAAGCAGATATGAATAACGATGGTTGTTATTCAAAGGATGAGATCAAGAAAGCTCTAAAGAATTTAGGTGCCTACTTCCCTGGATGGAAAGCAAACCGATGTTTGAAGAAACTTGATGCAGACAAAGATGGCAAAATTAATGGTGATGAAATTGACGATTTGGTTAATTATCTTATTCATCATGGGTTCGGAAAGAAGTGAACTAATTAGAGGTTAATTATCGCTCACTTTGTGTTTCAAATCTAAATATAATATTTATGTACTTGTGTTTAACTCTATGTAGTTTATGTTATGATTTTATAATGTTTTATGATCATGTATAAATAAGACTCAAGAGTTGTAGATAAGCAATTCTAAGAGGTTGATGTAATTAAAGATAAAAAGAAATATGTCATAAATCTATATATTTGTAAGTTTGGAGTATTGCTATATACTCTTTTGAAGAAGATAAATATTTTAAAAATATGAGACGGTTAATTGATAGATTTAATATTATTTTTGGTTCTGTATTTTAATTTTGAAGTATATTTTTGGTTTTTTAATTTAAAAATTGTCTATATTGATCTCTTAACTTTTCAAAATGTTTTATATTAATCTTTTTTGTCATATTAACGACAGAAAAATTTAAAAATCAGTCGTATAATTTGTCGCTAATTAGATAAAAATGACTAATATAAAATATTTTGAAGAATTAAAGAATCAATATAAATTTTTTAAAATTAAGGGATCAAAATGAATTTCGAAATTAAGATACAAAACTAAAAACGATAGTAAATATGATTTATATAATAAAAATAGGTGGTGTCTAGGATGAACCAATAAGAAAATGGTTCATTGTGGACCACAACTAAGATTCGTTGCATTGGATTGTTTTACCATAACTAGTTAAATACCCGTGCAGGGCAGGGTTGAAATTATTTTATATAAGATCATTCAAATATACATTGAAAGTAATATTTATGCATATTTTTTTTATCTGAATTTAAATGGTTGTGTCCTAGCCACTTAATAAAATATTTCAGTCACATTATCAGCATTAGAGACAAATAAATATGAATGATATTTCAATATATATAATTTTTTGTTTGAATTTAATTGGTTGTGTCCCGTGCCATTTCAAAACTTATTTTGTATTAAGTTTCATGGTATTTGAACATAAATATTAATACAAGACAACCATATTGAAAGGCTTATTGTGTGTCAGGTTTAACACATAGTGTAAAATAGATGACATATATAATCTGTTAGTATACAATTTGGTTTCATGCTTTTTGCATATAAATCATTTTATAGAACATATTAGAATAGAATTTGGTTTTCAAGTACAATGCAAAGTAGTTAAAAATAGTTGGCTTATATGCTAGCAACAGAGAATAATTGGTCCAAATGTAAATATATTACAAATTAGTAACAGTTTCAAAAATGAAATTAAATATTCTCACACAAACTGCAGCTATGTATTTTAAAATTATGAAATGCATAGTCCAAATTAAAATTTGAATATGTAAATAAATTTGATTTTCAACAGCATGTACTAGTAATATATTGAAATAATGTATAACGAAACTATGAAATTATACCAACCCCAATTTATATATAACACAACTTCACACTTCAGAGAAAAAATTATGTGTACATCAAGACAACACTTATATACTCAATGTCAATAACACTTATATACCTATATGCAACAACTCATTACAATTCTCATTACAATAACTGCAGAGCCAACCATGCCAATAAAAATGTCGAGGTTTTTGAATATCTAGTATCAAGATAACAACAACTATAACGCCTCTCAAATTCTTGGCATGAAAATATGTTTATCATGTAATCTGTTCTTGGTAAAGACTTGGTAAGTGTATAGTATGCATGAACCACTCTAGTAGATTGTGTTAAATATGTAATTCATTATTTTAGAAAGATTAGATTTAGTTTAGAAAGATCAGATTTGATTTAGAAAGATTAGATTAGATATTTTTGACCTTTTATAGTTTGAGTTTTAGCTTGAGATGCAAGTTAATCTAAATCTATAAATAAGAAGGAACTCTTATCATTGTAATCATCAAGTTTGTTAATCACGGTTTTGCAAATGTAAAGTGATAATAAAATTCCACAATTGTGGGCAGAGAGTTACTCTGCAGTTCATATTCATCTTCTTTAAACGTGTTCTTGTTTGTGTTTGTTGTCATTACATAACAATTTTGAGATCAAGATTGAGAAGAATTCACCATAAATCGTAGTTGAATTCCAACATCTGATATCTAAAGTTTCGGTTTTGATTCAAGGGAAGAACAACTATGATGCCAATGAATCCCCCGAACGGCCACTTTCCAGTAAATCTCCCAATTCTCAAGAAAGATCATTATGAGAATTAGTGCAAGTACATTAAGGTGATTTTCTGTTACCAAGATCTTTGGGATCTTGTGAAGGAGGGATTATCACCGCTTGTAGAAATTGTGACAAATTAGGAGAAAGCAGCATATAAAAAATTAAAGAAGAAAGATTATAAAGCTCTCTTTATAATCCATCAATATGTTGATCCAGATAACTTTGAAAAAGTTAGTGATGTAGAATCAACAAAAGAAGCTTGAGAGATTCTTGAAAAATCATTTGGAGGCACAGAGAAAGTGAAAGAGGTGACGTTACAAACTTACAAGAGGATTTATGAATTGCTTCAGATGGAAAACAATGAAAGTATAACATATTTCTTCACCAGAGTTACAAAGTTGGTGAATCAAATCAAGGTATGTGGAGAAGTGTTGACATCAAGATCAGTTGTGTCAAAGATCTTGAGGTTATTGACTCCAAAGTTTGACCACGTGGTAGTAGACATAAAAGAGTCGAAAGACTTGTCAGTATTGACGAAGGAAGAGCTTCAAGGAACGCATGAGTCACGTGAGCAAATGATAGCTGAAAGAGCTGCAGGAAAGTCGAAGAGTGATATAACTTTGTAGACGAGTTAGAAAAAGAAAGGAAAGACAAAGGAAGTTGGAATGACAACAAAGATAAAAGAGGTTACACCAATTCGACTGGTAGAAATCAGCATGAAGGAAATTGGTCTAATTAGAGAAAACTCTGGAACTAAGGCAACCAAAGAGGTGATGTTGTAGGTAGAGGAAGATGTCGTGATCGAAAGTCTGACAAAAGTCACATTCAGTGTTTCAATTGTCAGAAGTATGGTCACTATTTTAGTGAGTGTCGAGAAAAGAAGAAGAATCAAGAAACGGATGCAAAGCTGACAAAATATGAAGAATAAGAGATGTTGTTGATGGTCACAACAAGAGATGAAGAAAGATTCTAGGACCAGTGGTACTTGAACTCAAGATGCTCATCACACATGACTAGAAGGAAAGATTGGTTTGTCAACATGAAGCCCTCATCGAAGAACACAACATTGTTTGCAAATAACAACACTTTACCAACTGAAGGTGTTGGTGATGTTCAGATCGTGAGGAAGGATAACAAGAAATCAATAATTTTCAATGTGTTATACATACTATGCATGAAAAGTAACCTGCTAAGTATATGTCATCTTGTCGAAAAGAACTACAAGGTAGTTGTCGAAGACAAGATGATGAGAGTTCTTGACACAAGTGGTAGTTTGATCTTGAAGGCTCAAATGTCTCAGAATAGAACCTTCAACATTGAACTCAATGTGATGGAACACAAGTTCCTAGCAACTGCAGCCAGCAAAGATGAGTGGTTATGGCATTTTCGACTAGGCTATCTCAACTTCAATGACATCAGAGAGGTAAAGAGAAGAAATATGGCTTCAGGATTACCTGAAATCGACATTTCAATTGAAGTCTGTGGAGAGTGTGTTTAGTCAAAACAACACAAGAATAACTTCAGCAAGAATGCAGGAAGGAAGTCGAAGGCAACTATATAAGTCATATACTCTGATGTATATGGTCCAATCCAGGTGGATTTGATTGTAGGCAACAAATACTTTGTCACGTTCATAGATGATTATAGTCGAAAGTTGTGGACTTACCTCATCAAGACGAAAAGTGATGTGATCGAGGTATTTGCCATATTCAAATCTGTGGTCGAAAGATAGAGTGGTCGAAATCTGAAAGTTCTGAGGACTGATGGTGGTGGAGAGTATGTGTCGAAAGATTTTGATGCATTATGTGAGAAAGAAGGGATTGTGCATGAGGTGGTGTCATCCTACACTCCATAACAAAATGGAATTGTAGAACGAAAGAACATAATCATCATGAACATGGTGAGAAGTATGTTGAATATAAAACATCCACCCAAAGAATTATGGGGAGAAACAGTTTCGACAGCAACATACATATTAAACAGATGTCCGACGAAAAAGCTTAAAAGAATCGAACGCGTTGAAATTATTTTGTACAGGATAATTTAAATATACATTAAAAGTAATATTTATACATATTTTTTTGTCTGAATTTAAATAGTTGTGTCCTAGCCATTTAATAAAGTATTTTAATTATATTATCAACATTAGAACAAATACATATGAATGATATTCTAATATATATAATTTTTTGTCTGAATTTAACAGGTTATGTCCCGTGCAATTTTAAAATTTATACTATTTATATTAAATTTTAGGGTATTTATACATAAATAATAATACATCATGACCATATTGGAAGGATCATTGTGTGTCATGTTCAATACATAGTGTAGAATAGATGACATATATAATCTGCTAGTATAAATTTTGGTTTCATGTTTTTTTTGCATATAAATCATTTTATAGAACATATTAGCAGAATTTGGTTTTTGAGTACAATGCAAAGTAGTGAAAAATAGTTTGCTTATATGCTAGTAACGGAGAATAATTGGTCCAAATATGAATATATTACAAATTAGCAACAATTTCAAGTATGAAATTAAATATTCTCACACAAACTGCAGCTATGTATTTTAAAATTGAGAAATGCATAGTCCAAATTAAAATTTGAATATGTAAATAAATTTGATTTTCAAGAGTATGTACTAGTAATATGTTGAAATAAAGTATAACAATACCATGAAATTATACCAATCCCAAACTATATGTAACACAACTTCACACTTCAGAGGAAAAATGATGTGTACGTCAAGACAACACTTATATACTCGATGCCAATTACACTTATATACTTATATGCAACAACTCTCATAACAACTCCCATTACATTAACTGCATAGCCAACCATGCCAATAAAAAGTGTCGGGAT